TGGGTTTTAGAAGATGTTTTGCAGAAACAAATCTAATCTTGAAAATCTTTAAATCTCCTTAATTCCCCCCAACCCACCCCCTTCTAGTATTTTTTTTTAAAGAGAAGAAAAGCTAATTTCTGAGTATATTTTTAAGAACCCAGCCTGCCCACCCTCCCCTGGTACTTCTTATTCTATATACGAAAGGTTGAAGCTTGACCCTGCATGGTGTACATGTGTACGTATACATATGTTAAAAATGATATGATTTATCATGACTTTAAGATGGTTTCAACAAGTTGTAAAATCTAAATATTGGGTGTAGTGTATCAACTGTAAACTGATATCATTGTGTAGGTTGGTTATATATATATATATATGATATATACCTTCCTGGCTCCTATTCTTGTTTGTACTTTAAATATTTAAATCAAAATTTGATAGCTTCAGTGAAAAGTGTAAACAATTTGGTGTGGGTTTTTTGTTTCTCTGTTTCTGGTTTTTAGTTCTTGGTTTCTGGTTCCTAGATCCTGGTTTCCTAGTTCCTGGTTACCTAGTTTCTGGTTCCTGATTTCTGGTTCCTAGTTTCTAGTTTCTGGTTTCAGGCTTCTGGTTCCTGGTTCCTTCTTCCAGGTTTCCGGTTCCTAGTTTCTGTTTCTTAGTTCCTAGTTCCTGGTTTTTAGTTTCCTAGATCCTGGTTCCTATTTCATGGTTTCATTTTTCTGGATCCAGGTTCGTGGTTTCATTTTTCTGGATCCAGGTTCCTGGTTTTGTTCCTAGTTCCTGGTTTCTGGTTTTAGTTTCCTGGATCCCGGTTCCTAGTTCCTGGTTTCAGTTTCTTAAATTCAGGTTTCTGGTTCTGTTCCTAGTTACTAGCTGTTGGTTCTTAGTTTCTAGTTTCTTGTTCCTGGTTCCTTGTTCCTGGTGCCTGGTTTCTGGTTTCTAGTTCCTGGTTATTAGTTCCTAGTTCCTGGCTTCCTGCAACAGTTTGCAGTGAGCAAGGGAAAAGTTTTTAATTCCTCCTTGGTTCCCTGCATTAGAATCATGTTCGGTCATGGGGAATTTAATTTGCGTAAAAAGAGTCAATCTTGAACTGTCATTATCTCGTCCCTTTCATTCTCATTGAAGGTGAAAAACACGTCGCCTCGACATTGTTTTTACTCCGACATTTTGAATTAGGGGTGTAATTTTAACCCTTACTATTCGAATAAATTGTATTGTTTTGTATCAATTACGGCCATTTTATATATGACAAATGGGTGTGCTGTTCTTCTCTTATTTATTTGACCTTACAAAAGGATGTCCCTGAAAAAGCATGAGAATTAAGTGACATCAATTAAGATCTCGAAGTCGCACAATGTTTATTGGGACACCCTGTACTTACAGGGACTGGGTAGAGAAAAGGGTGCAGTGGTTAGTAGGATTAAAAAGTGGAGCATTGAAGTTTTCGGGTGGATAAGGTTAATGTGTGTACATCATTATTCTAAATCATTTCCCGGATAAAGTCTCTGGGAGAAAACCCAGATATTTTAAAAGTTTATGCATTAAGATTCCCCCTGTCTTCTTTGAATTTGTTGGAGCAAAAATTAGGTATTTATATACATAAATCGTATAAAAAGTTCCAAAAAATATCCCCGCTTAAAATCTACCCGCGCTTGAATTTACAATAATGAATAGAGAGAAGGTATTGTTAGCAACTTTAACAATTCCTCATTAAAGAGTAGATAGATAAAATCTTAATGACTTCCCCCCCCCCCC